ATAATTAAATTATATATTATATTTTGAATTACATACAAGTTGAAACAATGCAGAAGGTGACCTAAGCACTCTGGGTATGGAAAATTCTTAATTAGTAATTAATAGTTCTAAAGAAGTCTTCTAATATGGGCAAACATCAAATATATTATGCTCAGCCCTGGCTGGTGTGGTTCCATTGGTTGGAGCATCGTCACGTATACCATAAGGTGTGGGGTTTGATTCCCAACAGGGCACATATCTAGGTTTTTTGGGTTCAGTCCCCAAGTGGGGCACGTATGGAAGGTGATCAATCAATGTTCTCTCTTACATCAGTGTCTCAATGTCTCTCTCTCTCTTTCTCTCCCCCTGCTCTTTATAAAATCAATGAGCATGTCCTCATGTGAGGATTAAATATACTTCTTTTACTGCTCAGTAAAAAATGGGAGACATAAAGAAACATATATTGTATGATTCCATTAATATAAAATGTCCAAAGAAGGCAAATTTATAGAGACAAAAAGTATATTAGTGGTTGCCTAAAAATAGGGAGTAATCCTAACTATTTAAACTTGACTGTTAAGGCACTATCTTCAAGAAAGGCTTCATAAGTTACAAAAGCACAAGTTACAGACAAATCTTAAAAGTAGAAAAAAGTGAGAAGGAAGAGTAGGGAAAAAACCCAAAACAAATTCCCAAGGATCTCAGATCACATTATAAGTAGAATATCTTTTATAATAAGTAAAGTTCTAAAAGATAAATATTATATCTCATCTGAGCCAATGAAATAGTATGCTCTTATGAGAATGGTAAGTATATGTACACTATCTTTTCATTAAAAAGAAAATATGTATGCAGTCATTAAGAATAATTAGGTATATGGGAGGATCTCCAAGATGTACTACTAAGTGAAAAAAGCAAGGCAAGAAAACAGTGTAAATGGTTTGATTACTTTAGTTAAAAAAAAAAGAAAAAGATAATTTTATCTGTATATTCTGCCAATAATGCACAGCTTTCCCCTCCCAGGAAGAAATCAACTATCAGAGGAAATGGGATAGAGGTGGGAAAGGGAGCTTTCATTTTGCACTTTGTATCTTTCTGTACTATATGAATTTTATAACCATGTACATGGATTACTTTTATTTAAGGAAATGTCCATTTGATTGATGGAATTATTTATTGTATTAGAAAGAGTAATACAAGCTCCTACTGGCCATGTCAACGATTTCTTCACATTGCTGCCCACCATACTGCCTGACATAGATAACTTTGTATGTTGAGATGCTTAATAAACTTCTGATGCACTGAAAAAAAAAAGACTAATAAATGTTAGTAAAAATATTTTTAAGTAAGTTTAAAAAAGACAAGCAGCTGAGTCCAATTTCTGAAGTAATGCTGAGCAAGACCCAGTAGTTTATGCTGGCTAAACAGTATGAGAATGGCTCACTTGTAATCTGTGGCCAGGATAATGCAATTTACATCTACAGATTTTCCTAAATTAAGAAATAATTTCCCGTAAGACAGAATTTTAGAAAGTATCTAAGAATCAGTATGATCCACCCTCACCCTCCCAAGCCCTCTGGTGTCAGTTATCAATGCAGTGCTCTTTTCTCCAAATCCACCTTTCTTAGCTCTGCTTTGTGGTACAGGACCTGGACCTGCAAACATTCCTCCTTTGCCAGCTGGCACACTTTTGCCAGTAAAGGGTGATGAAGGGACACTGAAGTCTGAGTGGTGTGCTTTTTCCTTCTGGCTCCTGTGGTATGCATCTGCTAGGGGTATGTGGGACACCCAGAGTGCTCACCACTTAGCGAGTTTCAGCGGTACCCCAAATGGTGGTTTTCTATGAAGTTTCACTGGTACCCTCATGACTGGATTCCTAGCAAGTCTTGCCACAACTCCAGCAGGCAGTTTCCTGCTTGCCACCCCTGGTCTGTGGCACCATACACTGGCCACAGCAGCACCTCTCCAACAGGTCTGACTCTCAGTTTTGTTAGGGAAGGGCTCTTTTCTAAATTTGCTCCTGTCCTGGGTACTCTGCCTGAGCTCTAGAGGTACTAGCTGCTCCCTTTATCTGCTATGCTTGTGTTCTTTAGAATCCCCTTTACTTCTTAGTAGTTAATCCTGTTACTGCTTAATAACTCCTTGTATTAAATTTTCCCTGCTCATATTACTGGTGTTTTTGACTTCTGACTGGACCTTAACTAATTCACACCAAAATAAAACCAAACCAAACCAAACCAAACCAAACCAAACCAAACCAAACCAAACCAAACCAAACCAAACCAAACCAAACCAAACCAAACCAAACCAAACCAAACCAAACCAAACCAAACCAAACCAAACCAAACCAAACCAAACCAAACCAAACCAAACCAAACCAAACCAAACCAAACCAAACCAAACCAAACCAAACCAAACCAAACCAAACCAAACCAAACCAAACCAAACCAAACCAAACCAAACCAAACCAAACCAAACCAAACCAAACCAAACCAAACCAAACCAAACCAAACCAAGCCAACAATGAAGAATTAAATCCATAAACGCACTCTTGAAACCTAAGTTAGTATTGTTAAGTTTGATAATACAGAGAAACACCATGGCATTTGGCCCAACTTGTTAACTAACTGTATTAAAAATTCCCACAAAACTAAAAAACACAGTGTGGTGGTTTTGTAATGTGTAAACTAAGCTAAGCTAGAACTATATTTTCCAGAATTATCTTCTCTCTATGGCTCCAGGTTAGCGCTGGCCACAAGAGAACGCTAAGATTTGGAAGGCAAAAATGAAGCAGCAGCCATTACATCTGGAGGTCAGTATAGGATGCCAGGTGCTGCTGTAGTTCATATACTTTGTCCCGGATCTGCTGGCTCATCTGGAGAAGGAACTGAGTTCCTAATTCCTCCAGGTCCTGCTGGATCTCTTCCTTCAGCTTCTCCTAGTCCAGGGACAGGTGCATGTGTAGCTCCATGGCCAACAGTGCTACTTCTCTTGCAGGTCACCTGCACTGTCAAGGCTGGATGAAGTAAGAGACAGACACAGATTCCAGTCTGTCCTTGTTTTTTACCCTGTGTCATATCCAGCTTTTCTTCCTGACTGCTGCCCTGATGACATACAGGGCCTTCAGGCCCAGAGTAGACCCTAAGTCAAAGACTTCCATAAACTTTTCCCATAGCTTCCATAATAGTGTAAGGGCTGTTCCTATAATAAATTCCTTACTTCATATCACTCATGGTGTTTCTGCTACCAGGTTGAAACCCTTACTAATATACATTGTAAAATGGTTAAATAATTCAGCTTAAAAAAAAAAAAAAAAGAATCATAGTGACTTGGGTCACTTGAGCAATTGAGTTTCTACTGTCAATTGTTATTTTCCCTATGTTTCTTCTTATTTATTTATACACAATAGCTAAGTTTTAAAAGATCTGAGATGTTGAAGTGGGAAAAAATTTTAAATGCCATTTTCTTTAACAAATTGCCCATGTGAGCACTCTCAGATGCTATGAATCTAGTTAGATATAGGATGAAGTGTTCTAGCTGCTCTGAGATACAGACACGAATTTCCTAGGTGTCTTATGGGCCAGGAGAGCCTGGCCTATGATTGACATGTTCTCCATGTCATCAGAGGAATGAGATAAACTAGGAAGGTCCGAGAAGACTAGTACGTTTGCATTAAAGGAAAATGAGGGGGCCTGGAGCTGGGCTTAAGTCGAGAAGGAAGACCAAAAGGTGATACCCAAACTTCAGCAATGTCATTAGTTCTAAACCCAAATTCATTTGTTTCACATTTTTGCGATTGAGCCTTGTTTCCTGATTGAGCTTAGTATGACTTGCCAGTTCTCAGAAGTGTGAACCTCATAAATTCCACTTTCAGTTTTAGCAGAGGATGGGAAGGCAAGTAGAAAAAAGGGGGATATTCAGTGCTTAGCAGCAGAGAAGGCGCTCCTGATCAGGGAGAACTCTGGGTTAAGATCTTTAACTCAGAGACTGGGGAAAGACTATTTGAAATAAAGTTTTTAGAAAACTGGCCTTATCGATAAATATTTATTGAGTACCTACTAGCTCTAGGGAAGTAGCTAGGGGTCATCAGTTAGAAATGGTGGATGAAACAAAAAGGACAGCCAGAACAAAGGGAATGAGACCACTGCCAGCATCTAGGGGCATGATCATTTCAGGGCTAGGACTCTACCCGAGGCACTTCATGTGGTGCCTCATTCTCTACAGACCTGGGGATATTTCATAAGCCTGTGAAAACATGGAGTAGCTTAAGCCAGAAGTCCTTCCATACCACCTCTTGAAGTCCTAAAGCTAGCTGCACGTGGCTCAACAGTCAGTCGGCCTGGTGGCCACTAGTGTATTGTTTCCTACTGCACATTTCAGAAGGATGTAGTAAATGTGCTGTTCACAGTGCAGCTATTTAAATTCTTAGAAGTCCTTCATAGGGAAAGAGAGAATAAAAAGAAGTTGCTGAATTTGTTTGCTATAAAACTAAGTTCTTTATGAAAAGGCATGGATAGGAGGAATGCAGTAAATGTAAATGACAGAATCATGAGCATCATTAAACATTCCAGAAAATTCTAAGCAGGTTCATAGAAATTGCCAATGACGCTAAACTCTGCCCCTATTGATTTATTTTGTTCGTTCATTCATTCATTCAACAAATATTTACTGATTGACATTAGAATATCGCATCGAGTAAGACAGACAACATCCCAACCTCATGGAATATACTTTCTGTGGTGGGAGAAAACACTCAAATGTAAACAAATTAATATATAACATAATTTCAGTTGTTATAAAGTGCTGTAAAAAATGAAGCAGGGATGAAATGGGCGGTTCTGTTTTAGGAGATGACTTAGTATTACAGATTAAGTTTTCTACATATAGAATACAATAAGTGCTATAATAAATATAACCACAGATATGTCTTAGCTATACTAAAATGACAGGATTTATGTACTGAACACTGAATACATTTTTATGAATCATAATGAGCTTATATATAGATTCACGAAACTTACCCTATAGAAAGCACTCGTCAAAGGGAGTAAAGCTGCAGCGATGTTATATTCTTCTAAACTCGAACAATCCTGAGACAAAACAAAGAGAAATAAGAATTAGGACATTTACCGGAAATTACAAATATATGGAAACAGAAATCTGAGATATATTGTTTACTGTCCTATGTGGTTCTTACTTTATTCCAAATTGTCACTAAGATGTGCTAAGCTAAGTTCGGAAAAAATATACTGTCCCGGAAGCACATTGTTTTAGAAATGAGATAAAAATACATCTGAGAAAGATATTTTTACATGTTCATGATGAACAGCTCCCTTTATTTATCTGCTTTCCAAAAATTGTGATAAAGTATGCAATTTATACAAACCAATTTTTGGAGTTTTTTTTTTTAAGTATATTTAACTACTGCATTTCACTGAATCCAAGATACACTTTTCCCCCCACATTTTAACTTCTTTGAGACTGGAATTCATCTCATAATTAATTGGAAATATTTTTTCTCTCTTAGTGTTACATACAAAGGGTATTTTGCTATTGATCAGGCAAGAAATATCGTTGATGTTAAAACCCACTGGGTGCAATGTTGTTGGAATAGTCAGAAAACCTCAGTGGCAATGTAAAATGGTACAGCTGCTAGGAAAACAGTATGGCGATTTCTCAAAATTGAAAAATAGAATTATCATATGACCCAGCAATTCTGCTTCTGGGTATGTATGCAAAATAACAGTGACTTGAACAGATATCTGTACGTTCATGTTTACAGAGGCACTATTTAGAATATCCAAAATGTGAAAGCAACCCAACAGATGAACGATTAAACAAATGTGTGCATGAACACATATGTGCACACACACACACACACACACAGAAATATTATTCAGCCTTTTTAAAAAAAAAAAATCTATTGATCTCAGAGAGAGGAAAGGAGAGGAAGAGAGAGAGAGAGAGAGAAACAGCAATGATGAGAGAGTCATTGATCGGCTGCCTCCTGCACACCCCCAACCGGTGATCAAGCCCGCAACCCGGGCATGTGCCCTGACCGGGAACCGAACCCCGATCGCCTGGATCTTAGGTCAATGCTCATCCGCTGAGCCACGCCCGGCCGGGCGTTATTCAGCCTTTTTAAAAAGGAAGGAAATTCTGACACATGCTACAACATGGATGAACCTTGAGGACATTATGCTAAGGAAATAAGCCTCACTGTATGATCCAAACTAAAAAGCTTCTGCACAGCACAAAAACACCAACCCNCTTTTTAAAAAGCTTCTGCACAGCACAAAAACACCAACCCATCAACAAAATGAAAAGGCAGCCTCCTAAAAGGGAGAAAATATTTGCAAACGACTTGTCCAGTAAAATATTAATATCCAAAATATTCAAGGAACTCATACAACTCAACAGCAAAAAGACAAATAACCCAATTTAAAAAAGGGACAAGGAATTGAACATTTTTCCAAAGAAGACATACAAATGGCCAACAGGTACATGTAAAGTTACTCAACATTATTAATCATCAGAGAAATGCAAATCAAACCACAATGATATCACCTCACATCTGTTAGAATTGCTATTATCAAAAAGACAAAAAATAACAAGTGCTAACAAGGATGCGGAGTAAAGGGAGCCCTTGTACACTGTTGGTGGTAATGTAAACTGGTACCGGCACTATGAAAAACAGTATGGAGGTTCCTCAAGAAATTAAAAAATAGAACTGCCATATGATCCAGTAATCCAACTTCTGGGTACATATGCAAAGAATATGAAATAATTATCTTTTTTTTATCCTCACCTGAAGATATGTTTTTCCTGATATTTAGAAAGAGAGAAAGGTGGGAGAGAGAGATCGGTTGCCTCCTGTATGCGCCCTGACTGAAGACTGAACCTGCAACTTCTGGGTGCATGGGATGATGCTCCACACCAACTGAGCCACCCAGCCAGGGCTAAAATCATTATCTTGAAGAGATTACCTGTACTCCCCTGTTCACTGAAGCATTATTTACAATAACCAAACTGGTCATCAATAAATGAGTCATAAAGAAAATGTGACTTATATACACAATGGAAATTATTCAGCCTTAAAAAGGAAGGAAATCCTGCCATTTGCAACAACACAGATGAACCTGGAGGGCATCATGGTAAGTGAAATCAGTCAGACAAAGAAAGACAAATACTTAACGGTATTATCTATAGGTGGAATTAAAAAGAAAAAGTTGAGCTCAGAAACAGTAAAATGGTGGTTGCCAGGGGCTGGGGCATGGAGAAAATGGGGAGACGCTGAGAAAAGGTAACAAACTTTGAATTATGAGATGAATTATAAGATGTGATACAAAGTCCAACACAGGTCTAAGGTGCTAACGTATAACATGGTGACTACAGTTGATAACACTGTATTGTATAACTGAAACTGGCTAAGACAGCAGAACTTAAGTATTCTCACCAAAAAAGGGTAAATATATGAACATGTGAGGTGATGGAAATGTTAATTAACTCAATTTCCAAAATCCTTTCACAAAGTATACTTTGTCAAATCATCATATTGTATACTTTATTTATACAATAGGAAAACATCACACCTTTTCCCCTATATGGTGTCACTGTATGTTCTCGGTCATCTCCATGGATTTTATAAAATCATCCCAGACACAGGAAACGTGTGAATCACCCTTTTCTTCCTGACTGACTCCTCGCCCCTTTGCTTAGGACACTGCTATGCACAAGAATGTCATCCCCTGTGTCCTAGCACATCTGAGTTTCTTTAACAGAAATGCCTTGCATGTTTCTGAAGACTGTCATGAGGCCCAAGGCAATAAAGTTCAACAGACTTGAGCTGTAATCTTCTCCCAAGGAAATGGTTGGGATGCCAAGATGCCTTTTGACTTTGATTTCACAGCAGGGCTTCATTTGTAATAATTCTGTCCAAACTTTAAATGACAACAGCTGTGATATGAAGTCCAACACACTCATTTATAAAAATTTCCCACAAATTAAAAAAAATTAAACAATGGGGAATTTCAATCCATGACCAATTAGCAGGGAACAGGCAATCATAAAACATTTAGGAACTATTTATTATCTTACAAAATGTTTACACATTTTAGTGCATGTCTCAAACCTGAGCGCCAGTCAAATGCTGATTGCAAAATATAAATATAAAATTCTTTGCAAGTCACGTTAGAGACATTCTAAGTTAATTAGGTTGAAAAATGGAAAACTTTTAAAACAATAAGTCTACAACTATTGACACTGCAACAGCATTCTGGAATAGTGCAGTTATCTGTTGGGGAATCAGTCCATAAATATACATCCTGAACTCCCCGGTGCTTTTGCCACATAATAGCAATGCAGTTACAGACATACCAGGCAATTAATAAACTTGCAAGAACTTGAATACTTACTTCTACATGGTTTATTCTGAACTTTGCTATGTAGTTTTCCTTTAATTTTCCTGCTACAATTGAAGAGTGAGCCCTGCAATCTTAATTTCCCATTACCCTCAATTACTTCATACTTTCGATCTGCATACCTTTGAACTGTCATGGCCAGCATTCCTGTTTCATAAAACTTTGGAATTTCTTTAAAATGGTGTATTTAAACATTAAAGAAAAAAGATTGAAAGGCACGACTGTCTTTTGCATAAATGTCATACAACTGACTCTTCTTTAGAGTTCAGTAGATGTATAGTCAGGAAAAATATTTTTTTAATTTTCCAAAGACCTTGCTGACTGGCTATTTTGAGCCAGAACTTGCCCGTGTGGCTGGCTACTTTTCTGTCATGACCGGTCAGCAAGGCGTTTAAAATTACTTATATTAATGTAAGTGCAGACATGAGTTATCTTGTGACCAGTTAGCAACGTTCGGACAGGGAAACAGGTGTATACTTGCGACCAGTCAACAAGGTGTTTAAATACCAAAGCCCAAAATACCTGTTTATATCCTATTACTCTGCTGCTCAAAAATGTCAGCTTTGTTCTGACCATTACAGGATACTGACCAAAGTCTTCTTGCAGGCTTGTAAGCCCTCTGTGGTGTGGACCCAACTCCATACCCAGCTGACCATATGACCCTTCCCGCCACAAGCTTTATATGTCATCTTCTATTCCACATCATAGCTATCCCTACCACAACTAATAACCCTAGGAATACTGTCTATGCCTTGCACTGTCATCTACATTCTGCCCCCCCCCGCACCTCCAATGCACTGTCCCTTACATTTGCCTACCCTTTCCAAGTATAGTGCTAAGCACAAAATAAACTAAAGGACTCTTGCTGTAGCTTCAGCCTCAGATTATTTTTTAATGCTAAATAAAATATAATATAATCATAGAGAATGTATCAGAATTTTGAATACCATGGCTATTTAACATGTACAATGACTCCCATTGGGATAGAAGGTGACTGTCAGGTTTGACAATAATATCAAGCTCTCTTAAGTTTTTGAGAGACTGACTGAAGTCTGCATCAACTTTTTTAATAAATCCACTTCTATTTATTTACTTTTCAATAAATTTAAATCCTTCAGGGGAACAGCATTGCATAGGTTTTGTGTTCAATGGCCCTAACAGGAAGGTTACTTTGGAATTTAGCACGAACCATGCCACTGTTTCCATGAGCATGAGTTACCTTTCCCCAGATGACTCCGGTTTTGTTCAGTTTGCCACCAGGAGTCACTGTGTTGTTCTCTGCTTTGCGAAGAGAAGCACATCTCTTTGTATATATAACCACACTGAGATAAAATTCAGTTTCATCTCGGCATAAAAACCTTCAATTTTAAGAAGAGCTGTGTGTTCCCTCTGGTTTTGGAGACCCCATTTATAGACATCAAAAATGTCCTTGGATCACAGCTGTCCTGACACATTTGTCATTACAGGAGTCCTGTTCCCTGCAGGTCTCCACAGGCTCCAAGAGGGAAGAAGAGCTGCTTCAATTTTATATGCCTGGAAAGTAGAACACTGCACCTGACCTATGGTAACAACAGCTAACATTTATTGAGTGCCTACTGTGTATTAGACATATTTTAAGTATGGATTTACACAAATTATTTTGCTTAATTTTTATAGCATCTCTAGGAGGT